AGGTTTCCCAAATTTTTTTTTCACCCCCCCCTCCAATTTTTTTGTATTTCGTAGGCCGCCACATCTTACATACAATATTTCTTTTTGTAAGCAGGAGCTAGAATAAGGCGACCGAAATTCGAGTGTTCGAAATAGCTCAGCGGGGACGCAGCCAACGAGCAGAACTCATCAGCTCGCCGCCAAACACACACATTCATTTCCCAAATAATCTCGACAAACACTCATAGCACGTGCGCTAAGAAGAAGGGGTGGGGGGGGGGGCACTGTCCAAAACGTCCTCTTTTATAGTCGTCTGTTAAGGCCAAAATGTTATTGACGAATGTTGCGAGTTGCTTTGTTGCTTGGGCAGCACTGCCACCGGCTAGCTCATTCATTGCTCTCGTCGCCAGTACCAACTTGACCAACCTTCACGTTTGCATGTTACATGCACACGTCAACCCAGCATCCGCTTCACTTTTGCTGCATGTTAATCATTGTTTTAGCATTGGCCAAACGGATCCTCATGGCGGTACCCCGAGGTTCCAAATAATACAAAATGGGCCGAGGCAATGAAACATTTTTATTTCTGGGACACTTTGTTTCCCAGGCGTGTCACTTAACTCCGCGACTGGGGTACCAATTTGAAATCGGTGCCACTCCGCGATGTCGAAACGCAGCGAGTAAGATTTCACCGAAACCCTGAACGCTCGCGGCACGCACCATGGTGGTGGTGCATCGTGAGCACAGCTCGTCGAGACGAGTCGATTGCCGCATCGCCGACCGTCAACACAGACTACAAATGACTGCATCACGGACATTGTGCGAGAGCCGGGGTACCGCCGTAAACTTCAATTTAATTCGTGAGTTTTTGACTTCGCGTGGTGAGTCAAACCGGAGCGTGCCCACAGAAGGCCCCACCATGCCCAATGAAGGGGTTGACATTCACCACTCCACCATCTCGTCGCCCCACACCTCCAAGTGAAAGCCAGGCTCACTCACGGTTTAACTTCCGAGATCTGACGTGATCGATTGGGTACATTTAGGGTTACGTGGTCATATGTCTCGTCGTGGTCATTGCCTCATCGTGGTCATATGCCTCATCGTGGTAATATGCCTCATCGTGGTCATTGCCTCACGTTGGCTTCGTACTGCAACCTGGTTGCGTGCCTCAGCCTAACGCGTCAGCCCTGCCCAAGACGCACCCCCCCCCCACCTCCTCCCTACCCTTCCTCGCAATTCTCCCGCCTATGATTTACATTCTCGGAAGTACCCAGTACATTAGCATGAGTTTCACTATGACTGGCATGGTGGATGGGCGGGCGTGCGTGTGCACGTTTTTCTTCCTCATCATTTGCCTGACGGGGAGCGGTGGCACTGCGGTCAGCTCGATGCGCTACGAAGCTCGATTTCCGCGCACGGCCCAACACATCTGACGACCGTATGAACCGGTCCTGGGCCTCCCCTAGGTCGACTCGGCCTCAAACGAGTACCTGGTGCGGTGTGTAAACATCGCCACGAGGGAGACAAAGGCGGCCGGGCGTGGTGTTGGCCACCCACCCCCTCGTTTGCCGTTCAAGTCTTCATAAGTGCAACTCGCTAACAGCACTTGCCCCAACAGCCTATTCAAGGTTATCTTTGTCTTTGTTCATCTTTTTTCTTCCTTATCATTTGCCTACAGGCAGTAGAAGGGACATGTCAGCTCGTTTTTTTTTCCTACGCATTAATAAGCGCACAATTGTTTTAAAACAATAAGCATGGCACACGGTCTGTTGAACTGGAATAAAAATGAATATAGAGTAAATGCAAAAAGGGGAGTCGACACATGGTATCGTGAGTATATATAATAATCACCTTAAATCGACGAATGAGTGCCCCTCTCTGTCACTGTAGTCCCAAGCGTTCACATCTGCACGCTTCTTTGTGCACTTTTCTGTTTTATGTTCCAATCGGTGGCCGTGCTTCTGAGTTCCGCCGGGTAGTGGTACGCCCGACGTGTTCACAGTGACAGTCGCACAGTGCCCGATTGGCACACCAGCTGACTCGATGGCATGTACTTTGGTCGCAAAGAATCGCTTGCAATGGACGCGTCGTTTCACCTCTCATTGACACCTTGTGCGGAATTAAAAACAAACCACGACTTCCACCTGTGTCATCTTGTGATCTATTCGTTTCTGCTCTTTTATTTTTTTAAACGGTAAAAAGTGTCCAATACAAGCACCCTGTAATGAGGACAGGTTCTCTGCGGGCGTACCAGGAGGCCACACTTCTTTCCAACTTCAAAGATGAAAAGGTGCAGCGGCAATGTCACTGCAAGGCGAGCCTGGCAGAGGCAGTGTTTGCCGGAAGAACTATACCAGTGTTTTTCACTAATTTTCAGAGGGAGCAGGGACGGCACTTTCGCCGATGAGGCATCGTCAGTGTGTAAGGGACGCCGCACACTTGAAACCATTGGGTTTGACAGCAGGATGATTGGGGTGGCCCGCGGGCCTGGCAATGACGAACACTGATTTACTATACGGTACCGTGTTGTCCCGATCAAAAGACGCACCGGAAAGTAAGACGAACCCCAAACTTTTGATTTAAAGCTTTCGTGACTGCAGGGATTCATATTCTTGGTTCTTTCGGTAAAGTCACGTAGAAGGGAAACAAAATAAAAATATAAAACAATAAAATTCTCACGACGTTTCGACTGCAACATAAGCAATCATCAGGTGTGAAAACCACAAGAAAATTTGAAAAAAGTGGCGGTTATTTTTAACGTTAGCACCACGGAGAGAGATTTGACAGTTTGTTCATTTGGACGAGTCCATCTATGTTCGGAAAAGAGGAGGGGGGAGACAGAGGTTCTTTGCAAGCCATCTGGCTACCATGAGAGATTCGTTCATGAGGCTATCCACATGTACAAACACAGAGACAATTTCAACCGAGAAGATGGATTCTGGCTTCGCAATCATTGGAAGGATTTGATAAACCATTTCGGGTCTTAATTGATTGATCACGCTTAAGGTGGCTTTCAGACCGCATCCATTATTTTTCGTCTCCCCCCTCCTCTTTTCCGAACATAGATGGACTCGTCCTTCTAAACAAACTGTCAAATCTCTCTCCGTGGTGCTAACGTTAAAAATAACCGCCACTTTTTTCAAAATTTTCTTGTTGTGGTTTTCACACCTGATGATGATTGCTTGTGTTGCAGTCGAAACGTCGGGAGAATTGTATTGTTTTTAATTTTTATTATTTTATTTTTTCCCTTCTACGTGACTTTACCGAAAGAACCAAGAATGTGAACCCCAAACTGTTGCCCATTCTCAAGAAGGTCATATAAATCTGGTCACACACACCAAACGGATAAAAAGACTGACCCCACCCCCCCCCCCCCCTCTGAGTGACACCATCAGAGGGGGTCACACGAAAATGACTGTCTATAACATTTTTGTGCAGTGTTTCAGCAGAAATTTGAGGTTTTTTTTTAAATAAAAAAATATCCCTGTAGTTATAACAATTTTTTTTCGTAAGCCCAGCTTCCATATACTGTATCAATATACCTACAAGGCTAAAACTTTATTGCTAATTTACTTTTTTAACCTTCTAATGCACTCCGGTCAGAGCAGTCATTGTTACCCAACTGCAGTGACGCTTCGAGTCACGTGGTTTCGTCTGCACGCGCCACAAGCACGCGCTGTTGTGTTCATCGCTGCTCGTGTTTTTATAGTCGCTGATTTTGTCAAATTTTCTGGTGTTTTAGGTACAATATTGTGGTAATTAGCATTTGTAAACCTATATCAATAACTTTTTTGAGAATGAAGTAGTAATTAAAGGAAAAGGAGAAAAATAAAAAAAGGCTTCCACTCCGTTACTAATAATGTTGTAACTAATAATGTTGTAATTCAATGTAGAAAGATTTTACAAAACTATTTTGTTAGTATTCATATAATCGAATAAATATTACATTTAAGCAATTTACAACTATATCACATTATTCTATGATTAAACGTGATAATAAACTTACATGAAGAACAATTATTGATTATATAACTCTTTGATATCTAAATAGAGAAATCGACAATTTAAAACATGAAGAGGGGATGGAAATGTTAGGTTTCTTGATACATGTTTAGAAATATAACTTAAATAAAAGGTGTAATTTTTATTTTACTTGTTGTTTATGTCACTACTATTGCCATTACATTCAGTGAAATACGGGGATTACGATTTACGAGTAACATTAGTACAAAAAACATTACTAAGGATTGTGTATGCCTGTATGGTCTGGTACGGGAGGAGGTCCATGGGTGGAGGGGGGGGTGACACCAACCCTAATGACGCCACTGCAAGGAGGCGATGGTGGTTGTGCAGTCATCGGTGTTCGAGGCTGAGACCATAAACTCGCTCCGCTTGACATGACCTGGTTCCATCAAACGCGGCTGCCTGGACTCGAACCCAGCCCCGTCAGCGGTGGCAGGTCACGGCCCTGACCTCTGAGCCAAACCGGCCAACCTCCACGCGAGAAATGTTTTGACTGCGCCACTGCAACGGCAACATGAGGATGTATAAGACTGTACATAGAGTACGTCTTTATACGTTTATAGTTTTGTGTGTTTAAACCGAGCGCTCTCATCACAACTATCACACAATCCAGCGGTCTTCGTTTAACACGTTCAACAACTGCTGATGAGATCCCCCCCTCCACTCCCGATGGTCAGAACCGGTAAATGATTTGCTTGTGTAAGCACACGCTGATGACCGATAATGTTGAACTGGAAAGCCAAACAGGCTAAAACGAGGCCTGGGTGTGGGGGGGGGCTTGTTGTATTACTTTTTCATTCACGTGACGACCACGTCAACGCAATGTGCACGGTACAACCCCCGCACACACGGATTCCGCCACGTGAACAAATGTGGAAGTTGAGCGTATGACTTACACGGGGCGACTGTGGTGTCCTCCACGCAATGGGATTTACACAACACTCCCCTCCCCTACTCTGCCCTCCCCACTCTGCCCCGTGTGTGCGCGCGGTATATAGAGGCGGGAGTCGCTCTGAGCCGACATCAGACTCTTCCTCCGCCACGTGAGCAACTCGGCAGAGATCGACCTCCGACTGGCACGGTTCAGCGTACATAGTTAAACATCCACGCCAGCCATGAATCGGACATTTTCATCGCGGATGATGACGTCTTCTAGAAGTGAGTTTTCAACATACACCACGGTTGTGTTACTGTTATTGTTCTACTTTTACGATGATGGCAGCGATGATGATAATCATCAGTCATGTTCATGATTACGTTTTTTTAGGTTAGGTCGTGTAAATATAAAGGTGTCGTGCACCCACCTCTACACGACACAGCCAATGAGTAAGGATTGTCATGTGAACAAAACGTTCCGATTTGTTACTGAATTTACTCAATTGTTAATGTTGTGGGTTGGCTCTCAAACACACCACTGTGCTAAAGTAGTATCAAATTGGCACGTTTTGTTCACGTAGCAAACTTTACCAATTGTCAGTTCACTGCTGGATGAAGACGACCTCTCGAAGCTGTCGGTCGTAGGGGTTGTTTGCCCATCTTCAACCGCACTTGGTGGGGGAGTGGTGGCGTCGTGATTATCACAATGCGTTGCGAACTTTATTTCCTGAGTTTGATTCCAAATCACGGCCAACTTCAGTCACCAATATTTGAACCGGTTCTAGCACTGACCAGCATGGTGAAATATGGTCAAACAATCCCCGTTAATCCGGCACGGGGGTTGGCAACCTGTGGCCCCAGAGCCACCTACGGCTCTTTAAGGACTGCATAGCGGCTCATGAAATATTGAGTTTTTAACCGGATTCTTAAAAAAAAAATCTTCTCGTTATTTTTGGTTGCTGACCCTTGACCATGGGACTCCAGTTTACCATGTGCAGGGGCCAGCAGCCTGTGGCTCCGGAGCCGAATGCGGCTCTTTAAGGACTGCTTCGTGACATCGTTTATGAAGGACCACCATCAAGGAATTCACCACGTGCATTTCGGCTCTTGAAACATTGAGCTTTTTTGTCCGAATTCGAAAAAAAGTCTCTTCTTATTATGTTGGTTGCCGGACCCCTGATCTAGCAGCATACATGTATCTTAAGTGCGCGCGTGTGTGTGTGTGCCGCCCGCAGCACAGCACTGGCTGCCAGGAGAGAAAGGAGGAGTCCCCGAGAGCGACTCGCGGCGCTCCTCCCTGCAGCGCACCCTTCAGCTCGCCAAGCAGCTGCAAGCGATGGGGACGCAACTCATCCCGGTGTTCGTAAGTGGCTCCCCCTATGCTCAGCGCCTAAGGAATCACGCGCAGCTCACGAGGCCCACTCCACGGTCCACATGGCTGGGGAGACGATCAGGAGCAGCAGCTCCAACACATCGCCTTTTCAAAGTTCTGTATTTAAAATATCGTCGTTATATGTGGAACTCTACGTTTTCCCGTAGGCTAATCGGCCAAATCGGTTGAAGGTTATTTTTGTCCCATAACTATAACATCCCATTATCACGATGATAACGATACACACTTTGCTCTTTTGAATCCACGCTTACACCCGCTTGTTGTGATCGCTCACCGTCCGCAGGGCTCCAGCGAGGAGGTGGAGGCCGGCGACTGGGCGCATCACATGCGCGCCGCGGGCGTGCCCCTGCTCTCCCACAGGAGGTCCTTCTTCCCGTGGGCCCAGAGCCATCAGAAGCGGCTGCTCCGTGACGCCGGGGCGCTCGCCTTCTTCCTCGACTACCTGCGCCGCCTGCTCACCGAGCGAGCCCAGCGGCAGCCGGAGCAGCGGTCGACGCTCGCCTCCCTGCGCGGCACCGTGCGCTCGCTCGAGGCTCTGCTCGAGCGCCTCTGCAGCGCCCTGCGCCCCGCCGGGCAGCCTCCGCGCCAGACGCAGCTGCAGCTGCTGCACGCGCCGAGTCACGACGAGCAGGGGAAAGATGCTGCTGATAAAGAGGAGGATGAAGAGGAGGAGGAGGAGGAGGAAGAGGAAAAGCAGCTAAAGTGCGCACTTAGGATCCCCGCCTTGGTGATGCTCCATGAGTTCCAGGCGTGGGTGGAGCGCACGGTGCGAGACCTCAACACGGCCTGCAAGAACCACCACGAGATGGTGTAGAGGATCTGGCCGTGTGTCGACTGATGGTGTTGGAGATTTGGCTGCTTCATCATTACCACCACCACCATCACCCGTTTGCTTTGCACTTCAGTCAACCTCCTGCACGCGTTATTATTGTCGTTTGCCTCCACTGCATCCTGATCAGCTGTCAGAGCCACTTTAAAGGTGGCTGATGAGGCTGATATTGGTTGATTGGTTCATAAGAATCGCGACCGTTTAACGTAATTATCACTACTGCGGTATGCAATTCTACGTGTATTTATTAATTCCGTGTTTAGGAATTACATTGTATCGTGTAAATGCACGGCCAGATGCATTGACTGATGTGGAGGCACTTCACCTTTTCCCTTAATTTATTTTTGTATTTTGAACTTTATAAGCACGTGTACATTTATTCACACTAACTTTCCATCAATAAATGTAAACTGCCGTGTGTCGTTGCCGACTACGGATTACAACCGTTACGATGTAAATTGAAAACTAAGTTTAAAAGTGCACTTACCTAAATGCACACTGGCACGTTTCAGTAAACTTTGAGGGTCCATTTCTTATGATAAGAACTTACTGCAAATGGGAACGTTTTGCACTCGAATATTGGATATTCCTTTTAGCTATACTGTGTTGTTGGTTAAAAACATGTACTTTTTTTAGTTGAGTTTTTATTGAAAATAATTATTGGTTTAAGAATAAATATTTCAGCAATACTTTGCACATATTTGCTGATGTTTTCATTATAAAAAAAAACCAGTCCAATTTAAAAAAGAAAGACGTGTAAATGTGGTTTATCATTACACTTGGAGTGTGCGTTACTCTAATGCTTTCCAAAAAAGGTTAAAAGCGATCATGCGTTAGCTCTCTGTGTCTGTCCATCCAATTGTCCGTCCATCTCGCCTGGCACAGTAAAGATGTCTCATATGAACGGAAGTTGGTCACGTTGTTTTGCTATTAGGGACTTACACCATACACAACCGGGCACATGTATCAAAGGGTTGCCCAAAAACATAGTCATGAAAACTATCGTAAAGCCAGAAGTAGGCCTATTTGTTTAGCAAGCCTGACAGTGGAGTAGCTATCGATGCCAACCATCCTCCACTAACCTGGAAGGCTTATTAGCGCATCTATTAATGGCTGATCTGTACATATAGATCATTGGATGATCTGTGCAGATAGGAAACTATATGTACAGTAGAACCCCTCTTAACGACGGCAATTGGTTCCAAGAATCTGGTCGTTAAGTGATTTGGTCATTAAGCGAGTATGGGAATTACAAGTTAAAGGCTTCATTCGTTCTGATAGCATCGAAAGTTACCCTTTTTTACCTCCAAAAAATATCTTTTTCAATATTTAAGCAATGGATATGAATACATAAAGATACGAACAACATTATAAACACATGACATTAAAAGAAACAGTTAACCAATGGATTAATATTTACTGTACCTACAACAGCCCGTCATTAACAGGGGAATGGTCGGTAAGCGAACACATTGGGCTCTATGGAGGCACTGCACTACTGTTGTGACATCACGAATGTCACTGTGGAATGCCAGCTCTCGAGAGGCACGGCGTGCGATGTAGCGACATCGCGGGCACCACGTGGATGTGGGTGCAGTTTCGGCCCTGGAGGGGCTCGGTGAGTGCTGACTGACAGCGCTGAGTGGCACCCACGCTCTGCGTGCAGTGCCGGCCCCTACAGGATTGTGTGTGAGAGTGCCGGCCACGGGAATGGGGTTACTATGGGCCGTGGCACTCTGGTTGACCCCAGAGGACACGTGACGAGTAAAGTCTACACAGGGGCCCCCAGGTGGAGGCTAGGGGTGGTCACGTGTCAGGGTCGAGATCCTGCTCGAGGATTCCAGAAGGTGGTCGTGGCTAAGGGCGGAGCCAGCCACGACCACGGAGGATATAAGCCGGGTCCCCCAGAGGGACCGGCTGCTTTTGTTCATCTTGAAGAATCTATGTTCTGCGTCCTACAGAGTCTCCGACACGTGGACCTGGACCCAAGCTGGGGTCCGGTCCGCTGTAGCTAGTTACGTAGTGACTAGTGCAGTTAGCCTGGTGGTCCACCACCAGAGGTTGTTAGGGGCCGTCCATCAATGACGTCACGCGATTTTTGACGATTTTTGACCCCCCCCCCCCCATCGTCACAAAAAGTCAGACCCCCCCCCTCAACAATGACATCACAAAGCTTTGACCCCCCCCCCCCCCAAGAAATAAAACATGCTTCAAATTGCTTTAAACTATTGTCATTGTAGTGCGTATTTAATGTGCCGCTGCACTCTGATGTTGTAGGAGAAAACTTTTATCAAAAAGTCTTTAATTAAGTAGAACGTGTTGTCACACATCGTCACAAATGTCTGACCCCCCCCCCCCCCCCCCCCCAGGTGTGTGACGTCATTTATGGACGGCCCCTTATCTTGTTAAGGGGCAGTTACCCCGTGTGTTGGTATTAATAAATGTGTTGCCCCCAAAGAGTACGTCTGCAACTCAGTTGAACTCACTACACTACTATACACTACACTATACACTACGCTACTATACACTACACTACTATACACTACACTACACTATACACTACACTACTATACACTACACTACTATACACTACACTACTATACACTACACTACGATACACTACTATACACTACACTACTATACACTACTATACACTACACTACTATACACTACACTATACACTACACTAGTATACACTACACTACTATACACTACACTACTATACACTACACTACTATACACTACACTACTATACACTACTATACACTACACTACAATACACTACTATACACTACACTATACACTACACTACTATACACTACTCTATACACTACACATTGGGCTGTATGGAGGCCCGTCGCGAAGCGATTAGTCGTTAACAGGGGTGGTCGTTAACAGGACTTCTACAGTATAGTTATATATATGTAGACAACTATATGCACTGATGTATGTTACTCCTTTGTTGTGCGCGAAAATCGGAGCCTAATTTCAAGTGGAAGTGAGGCTGAGCTCCGTAAAATATTTGCATTCCTCCCCAACCCCACTGTCAGGGCCGATGGGGGGGTGGACAGAAGATGGGATGGGAAGGTGGGGGCCCCGTAATGGAGTCCACGAGAAACGAAGCTCAGCCCACATGAAGACGCATTGTTGATTGAACAAAATGCAGGCAACAGAACAGACTCATTAAATTACAGATCACCTTCTCCCCTGTGTTGTTAAAATCGCACGGGCGTCTTGTTCTTCTTCAGTGATAGAACAGAAGCGTGGCTGCTGGCATGCAAATTCAATCCCGACTCCCTCGCCTGGTACACAGGAGGTCCTGGGATCGATCTCGACCCTGACGCCTGCTGTAAATTTGGAGTTTGCGTCTCTCTCCCCGTGGTCGCGTGGATTTTTCTCGGGGTACTCTGGTTTTTCCCTCCACATTTTAGAATCAACATCACGCGTTTGGAGTATTTGGCTGCTATAAATTTCCACGTGATAAACCACTTCGTTGAGCTATCATTTGTGGGCAGGTCGTTTCTGAAAAAAAAAGGTATATAGCTCATTGGGCGTTACCTGGTAAAATATAAAGTTCATAGTTTAGTTCAAAGTTAAACCAAAGCTCAACCGTGCGCACATTAACGTTGGGAAGTCCATTCATGAATTCACACCAAGAGACGTAGAGAGGAGCACGTGGCTTAAGAGGATGTACAAACAAGTGAAGTGGGCTTGGGCAGGACGCGTCATGAGGGAGTGATGATGGCCGGTGGTCAAAAACCAAGGACAGAATTGGGAGCCAATGAGGGACACGTGCAGAAGAGGACATTCAATGTGATGATGGAGCGGTGAAATCAGCTAACGTGCAGATGCTAGGTGGATTTTTGCATCGCGAGCCAACGATGAATGACAGAGGCTTGGGGGAATTCTTCATCCAACAGTAGATTGGTCATGGATGGCTGATTGAGATTTGTCTCGTTGGTAGTCCAACAATGATCTACTCGGGCAAGAGTGCGGGTTCAGTTGTAGTTTTGTGTTGAACATGGTTATGAGATTACGCATTTAAAATCTAATGGTCGTAGGTCACTCCATACACGGTCAATCATCGGCGAGGTGAAACACCAACGGTTTGACGGCCCCCTCCAGACAGATAGAGTATACACAGCATAAAATCGTCCGTATACAATACAAGCCTCTGTTGCTACTTCCTTATGAGTCAAGCTACCGCATATCTGGGAGGCTCAACCTGGGTACATGAGCCCACTACCCACACGCAGTCTAAGCTCTCTCTCCCACCTCCTGAACCTCTCGACTCAGTATTACAAAGTTGTTCAACTTGCTGTCGACACAAGTATTTACAGCAACCCGTGGGGTTTGTTTGTTTGTTTTACGCACGTGCTAAATTGCACAAAAAACTAAATTACAGCGAATGGGACAGGATCTGACAACCGCAAGATTTTTACAAATGTATCATTGAGGGGGGGGGGGGGGGGGGGAGGCGGTGGGGGTTATAGATGTGACATGGTATTGGTAAATAGTTTAAACCATTTACACAAACAGGCACGCGCCGGTTCTATGAAGAAACAAGCGTCTGACAAAGGTGGACTCGCTTTTGACAAGGTTATTCACTGGAACTTAAGAAGATATTCTCCGAGAATTGCATTGGAAAAGCAAAAGCGTCGTAAACATTAACTGAGAAAACGTTAACCATCTCTGATGTGCTGACGACAAAGTACAGCACAACAAGTCCGCTGAACGATTCTGAGATCTCTGTAAGGGGAACACAACTTGAACAGACAGCAGAATGTGTACCCATAGGACGCCTACCGATAGCTTACCGTGATCACAATGAAAGCAAGAGGTGGATGAGAGCAAGTTGGAGTGCTTTTGGAAAACTGAACTTTATATATATAAAAAAGCAACCTGGCAATGTGGCTAGAAAAAAATCCACTACTGGATGAAGACCTCTGCAAGCCAAAGCCTCCTCTCATGACGCTGCGACGCAATGATCCACGGAGCGCCTGCACGTGAACTGAGTTCATCGCTCCATCTCCTCGGCAGAATTCCCCTTGGACGTGTTCCATTGCTTGGCTTCCACTCTGTTATCATTCTTGACCATTATCCATAATTTATTCGAGCTGCAGGTCCTGCCCAAGCTCGATTGCTTTCCTTAACTTGTTCTCGAATGCACATGTTCCTCTCTCTCTCTCTCTATGTGTGCATGGATATATTGTTTAACTAATTTCGCACCTTACGTAGCCAACCGTGCAAATCCGAGGTGCGGGCGGCGGACAACAGAAGAAAAGACAAAAAATAAGTTGTAAAGAAATTCGTTTTCAATTTAGAATGATTTACACATTTTGAGTTTTCAATGCAATTCTAAGCATGCATCCCTCCATGCCTATTTTCGCACTTTTCAGTTTTTGGTCCGTACGTCTCATTCAGGACCGTGTTTCTGAGCCGTAGCAGGGAGTGCACGCGACGCATACCACCATTCAAACACGACCGGCCGATCGACACACAAACTGATTCTATTTGAATCGACACATCGTTACACCCATCATCACTGACCTCGCTGCGGGGAAATTACTTCCCTCTGTGACACATCCGCGTCACATCTATTCGTCTCCGCTCCATGTGACAGGTGCTGTTTTTTGCTTCCAATAATTCGAGCGGGGACTTTTCTGGAGCTGCGGTCTTGCTCGCTACCGCGCCAACTCGCAAAGGCGCAGCACCGTCGCTGAAAGAGGAGCCAGGCAGAGAGGAGCGACTGCGAGTATCGCACCGTCTATTCCACAGATTGTAATAAGATCGTGAAATTGAGATGCACCCCAGAGCGTGTGGTCCGTGTCAATCACGGTAAAGAAATGTGGTCACGCGCACGCACCTACCGGATTGTCAGACTCGCCGCCAAATGTTCTTTTAGAGCACCAGGCAGGTGCGGCGGAGTGCGCTTTAGTCATCCGAAGCGCGCGGTAAACGTAATCCTGTCCTCTGTGACCCGTGGTCCTCAGAGTGTAGTCCCTGGATCACCAGGTGGTCCACGACGGTCCTCCGGGTGGGTCCGTGGGCTACGATGCAAATGCAGGTTTGATCAGGGAATAATAGCAACGTTTATACCTTTTGTGTCGGAGATTAATACATATTTTACTCATGCTATTAAAAAAATATAAGTTAGGTAGACTACCCTGATTAAACTACTCTAACCCTAACATCTCAATGTCCCCCCTCCACCCCCCCTTGTAAAAAAACAAACCTTATCATGGGACCTCCTTTGCCAGTACCAAAATATCAGAATAGGTTTTCCCCTTTTTTCTGGCAAAACAAAACAGGTGTCCTCTGGTCTAACTGTGTTAAATGTGTAAGACCAGAGAACGCCAAAAGGCGTTTGAGACTAGGCTCAAAAGAAAGCTGTCTCTGGTGTGGACCAATGAGTTTCAAGGACAATGCATATATTATCAGAGTATGCTTTTGTTTGCATTCTGACTACAAGCATTGTGGTTAATGCAGACACGATTCCTTGTAAAAAGTTTCAGTTTGGTATTTTAACATCTCAACACCTGTTTTGTTGCCAGAAAAAAGGGGAAACCCTATTCTCAACAAACCTTAAAGCTGCGTAAATCCGGTAATCTTAATAATGTTGTATTGCTGCTATTTAGAGAGATAAGTGAATGCGTTTTGTCACCAGAGGTGGGGGGGCCGAGTGGTCCGCGGGCCAAAAATAGTTTGAGAAGTACCGCTCTAAACGAACAACCGAAATATGCCTGTTGGAAATGTATTTCTCTTAAAGTCAGTGTTATTGACGGATCACGTGCAGCTCACTGGATTTGAACCCATGCTCTCAGCGGTGTCAACTCATACTTCTGACCTCTGAAGCATCTGGCCACCTCAGAGTGCAGTATACTGCAACACAAACCCCGTTGTTGTGTGCGGTGACCGGGGCCCCATCATGTAGACTGAACGCCCTCGCCAATAACGTCTGGGAATCTGACTGTTGCTGATGAGACTTCTAATGGTTGGAACGAGTCCATCATTTGCTGATAAAACCAAATGCTCATGACCGATTATGTGGAACTGAAAAGCTTAACGGACTAAAACGAACGGAGAATGTATTTAATTATTATTATATGACAACACTAATGAAGGTCCCTATTATTTGTTTTGTAATGTCTTTCCTACATCACGATCACGTCATCGCAGTGCGTATGGTGCAACCCCCGTGCGCACGGATCCCGCGTGAGCAATTGAGGAAGTTGAGCGGTACTCTTTGGTTCTATTCGGTAAAGTCACGTAGGTAAAAATAGAACCAAAGAGTATGGATCCTTGCAGTCACGAAAGCTTCAAATCTAGAAGTTGAGCGGCTCTGCCGAAATATATCTCTCCGGAGAGACTGCCACTGCAATAATAATATTCGTATTCTGTCCCCAAAAAGTCCGCGATCAGAGGGCATTGGGCAATGGGATTTACGCAACGCCCCTCCCTCCCTCTCTCGTTGTCCTCATCCTCTTGCCCTCCCACGTATCCTCACGTGAGAAGCCCCCTCGTGTGCGCTGTATATAGAGGCGGAGGCGCTCTGAGCTGCTGACATTTATGAGACTCCCGTCGCGTGACCAACTCAGCCGAGATCCACGCCGCAAGCCGCCTCGACGCCAGCCATGTATCGGACACAACATCCCTCGCAGATGATGACGTCCATTCGAAGTAAGCTTTTAAACGTACACCACGATCGTACTACAGTACTGTCGCTGTGACATTTTTGCGTATGTATATATGTTGAACTTCTTTCGCACCGTACGCAGCCAACCGTGCTAATCGGAGGTGCGGGGGAAGGACAAATAAACTGAACACAAAAATCAGTTCCAAAGAAATTACTTTTCAATCTAGGAAATAATGATGGTGGCGATAACAATGCATCATGTGCAGACCCTTTGTCAGTTCACTGCTGGATGAAAACCTCTGCACGATGTGGGTAGGAGGGGGGTTGTTTAACCGTACCCAGCCATACTTGGTGGGTGAGTGAGTGGTTGCCTAATGCTTATCGCAATACGTTACGAACCCGGCGATCCGAGTTCGAATCCCGAACCCGGCTAACTTCAGCGAGCGATATCTGATCCGATTCTAGCCCTCTCCTCAATAAACCTGCACTGGCCAGCATGTGGAAGAATGGTCAAACAACCCCCGATAACCAGAACGGTTTACAGAGTTATTCATTCAGCACTGGACAGCGATTCATCGAGCGGTATGACTTGCGTCTGTGTGTCTAAGCGCGCTCCGCCCGCAGTAGCTGTTAGCTCGCTGCGCTACGAACCCGGCGACCCGAGTTCGATTCTTGCTGACGGCCACCAACACCGCTCACAGCGCTGAACCCCAAACAGTCTGGCAAATGCCACAGTGGAAGAGGGGGGGGATCTCTGTCGTCTTTGCCGCCCGCAGCCCAGCACTGGCTGCCGGGAGACAACGGAGAAGCCCCCGAGGAGAGCGACTCGCGGCGCTCGACCCTGGAGCTCGCCCTGCAGATCGCCCGGCAGCTACGACTCATCCCGGCGTTCGTAAGTGGCTTTCCCCCAGCACGCCCGCCTCTGCTCACGAGGCCCAACTCCACACGGGAAGGGATGCCGAGAGGCTGCGGAGGGGGATTGGGATCAGCAGATTCATCGCTTTCTGTTCCCGAGTTGCTTCTTTACATATGGGGACCCTCTGTGTGTGTTCTGGAGGAGAAGAATATAATCGTCGAGTAAAACGCCTCTTGTTGTTATAATAACCAGCGGGCCCGCATGTCCTTTGAACGTGACCGTCCGTCCATCCTCCCTCCGGCCAGCCAGCCAGCCAGCCAGCAAAACCTTTGTCTAATGATGTACAGTATAACAGCGTATCCTGCTCGTTTGGATGGGGGTGGGGGGGGGGGGGTGGAGGGTCAGTGGGGTGGAGGCGTGAGGTCAGGATGCATGAACCCCGGCGCAATCCTGTGAGATGCGGGTGGAGTAATCATGCACGTGTTGCTCGGTGACGTCCCGACCGTGCACACTCAGCCAGCCAGCCAGGAATCCAGCCAGGCAGTCGTGAATCCAGCCAGCAAAACTTCCCCCCCCCCCCCCTCCCTCTAATATAGTGTGACACACCCCTTTGCTCTATTGAATCCACGCTTACACCCGCTTGTTGTGATCGCTCCCCGTCCGCAGGGCTCCAGCGAGGAGGTGGAGGCCGGCGACTGGGCGCATCACATGCGCGCCGCCGGCGTGCCCCTGCTCTCCCACAGGAGGTCCTTCTTCCCGTGGGCCCAGAGCCATCAGAAGCGGCTGCTCCTTGACGCCGGGGCGCTCGCCTTCTTCCTCGACTACCTGCGCCGCCTGCTCACCGAGCGAGCCCAGCGGCAGCCGGAGCAGCGGTCGACGCTCGCCTCCCTGCGCGGCACCGTGCGCTCGCTCGAGGCTCTGCTCGAGCGCCTCTGCAGCGCCCTGCGCCCCGCCGGGCAGCCTCCGCGCCAGACGCAGCTGCAGCTGCTGCACGCGCCGAGTCACGGCGGCGATGTCGATGATGAGATTATGATGAGCGAGATTGAGGACAGTCAGATACAGGGTACGCTCAAGATTCCCGCCGTGGTGATGCTCCACGAGTTCCAGGCGTGGGTGGAGCGCACGGTGCGAGACCTCGACACGGCCTGCAAGAACCACCACGAAATGGTGTAGCTGATCTGGCTGTGTGCCGCCGATGGTGTAAGAGATCTGGCCGTATGTCGCTCATCATCATTATCACCGCCACCAAGTGTTTGCTTTGCATTTGAATTGTCAACTTTCATGCACGCATTACCACCTACGATTGGAAACCCCAATACGGAATGTGTTGCCTCCACCCGGTCTACTCAAGGTGGTGGTGATGGTTGGGTGGGGGGGGGGGATCAGTGTGACCATAGATCCTGAACTAAATTTAAGAGTTAACAAGCATTTGTTGCATTCCGTCGTCGTTTACCTGCACTGCGCCTTGATCGGCGGTCAAAGCCACTCCAAGGTGGCTGATGAGGCTGATATTTAGATGAATGTTGCAAAAGACCGTACACACTTACGTCGTTAGTACGTGTATTTATAAACTCCGTGTGAAAGAATTGCGTATTTTACGTTGTTTAAACCGCGTAAATGAAACGCCAAATGTGTCGTGATTGTGTGCAGATACGCGTGCAAATGTACTCGTTGATTATGACTGCATTTGCGATTTTTCATTTGCTCTATTTTTGTATTTAGCTTCACAAAAGCACGTGGTAATTTGTCTCACGAACTAATGTCAATAAGTGTAAACTATTGTGTGTCGTTGCTGACTATAGGCTACGAGCCATTCTTGTGTAAGGTGTGTAAGCTCAGTGTAAATGTGCATTCATGTAATTCAAATTTCAGTGAACTGAGAGGGGTCCATCTCACACGATGCGAACTCACAGCGGTTGAGCGTGTTTTGCACACGAATATTGGATATTCATTCTCGCTATACTTTATTGTTGGCTTAATAGAGATATATTACTTCGTAAGTACGATTGTTAATTTAAAGTATTCATTGGTTAATATATAAAGAATCCACTTTTTGCACATTTTTTAATATAAAGCATTTCTGTCTGCGAGTAAATAATAAACACGCCTGATTGAAAGTAACTTTTTTTTTCATGCCTGTTTTATCTCTACGCTTGCAGCGCATGTTATTTTTTCTTGAACACTTTATAGCCGAGGTGGACATCAGCGTGGGGAGGCCATCAGCCAACAGTGGATTGACAATAAGACGGTCGCAAGGGCAGCGATACCTGCGGCGTGGTAATCCATCAGCTGTTTTGTGGGCGTCGATTGCTGTTTCCACACTAGTTTCTGTTCCGTGAGTACGCACGTCGGACTTCTGTTTCAGCGCACGCAGCCAACCGTCGCTAATCCGAGTGTGCGGGGGAAGGACAACAAACCAAATACAAAAAAATCAGCTCTAAATAAATGAATTTTCGACCTAGATTATTTAAATTTTGCCTTAAAACTTTCGCGACCGCAGGAATTCATATTCTTGGTTCTTTCGGTAAAGTCACGTAGGTAGAAAATAAAAAAAATAAAATATATTTTTTTAAACGCTCAAATAACTTTTAAATAAAAAAAACATTGAAAATAATAAAAGCAAATAACCCATGACGTTTCGGTCGCAACACAAGCGGTCTTCATCAGGCGGAGAAACCGCTTGTGTTGCGATCGAAACGTCGCGGGCTTTTTGCTTTTGTTATTTTCAATTTATTATTTTTTACTTATATATTTTCATTGTTATTTTTATTTTATATCTACGTGGCTTTACCGAAAGAACCAAGAATATAGATGATTTAAAAGTGCATTGCTCCAGTGGCTTCCTAATATCGGAATGAAGAGCGTTCCAGACGGCCACAGAAGCGCATCTAAAAGCGCGCGCCGTTCAAAAAGAGAGCCTCGTGCAGGACTCGGCAACCAAAGTAACAAGGAGGGCCATTTTTGTCGAATTCGGTACACACACACATATACATTAAAAAAACCTAAATATTTCAAGGGCTATTGCGCAATGCGTGTGAATACGAGACGGTTTTTAGGAAATAATGTCACGAAGTGCTCCTTTGAAGAGCAGCACGCGGCTCCGGAGCAAACACTCTTAGCGGTTCAGTTTTCGCCACTTACTCATTGTTTTTTCGGTAAAGTCACGTATGTAGGAATACCATAACATTACATACGTGACTTTACCGAAAAAAAACAATGAGTAATTTATGCAGTCACGAAAGCTTTAATTCTTTATTTTCGCCACTTGTTGCAGAGATTCACGGTTCGAATCCAGCGGCCGCCATCATTAATAATGCGGTTGTGTATTTACCATAATGTATATGGACGCGCTGCATCCTTCACAGTAGACGTTAAAGATCCAGCGACGCCCTTTGCCGGCGGCATATTCCACATTTGCCAAATGTAAAAAAGATTACCTGCAAATTACACAAATGAAATTACAGCAACCCTTCGCGCACTCCTCTGCTGCCCCCTACTGCGAGAACTTGGTAGGACCCTTCTGACAAAGTCTCGCTTTAGCTTTTCCCTGGTAAACAAGCACAATAATTGTGATGTACGGCGTGCTGATGAGACGAATTGCGGAGTAGCCATACACACTGCTGGGTAGGCAGAGGCAGGGGGACAAGAACTGCCCGCCCTCACTGCGTGCCCGTGTGCTGTTGCCAGGGCTGAACGATTAATCGATTTCATAACCGAAATCGCAAATTGAAACAACGCGATTAGCAAATCGCAAAAGCTGCGATTTTTTTTTGCGATTTGAAAAGTCCTATTACTTTCTTATTGGAATTGTTTTATTTTGTATTATTATAACTTTATTTATTTGACTTAACAATTGTTCTATGTTTGATTGTTCTATTTTTTTATATATATAAATACATGTTGGAAGCAATTCGTATATTTTAAGTTCTCATCCTTGCATTAGAATATAGAGAGCAGTTCGTATTTTGATGGTATCACGTGGTAATGCTCCATCACATGTTTTAAATCTATTACACAGTGAATATTGAACTGAAGCTTGACTTTAAACAATTTAATCGCAAATCGCAATGTCAGAAAAATCGCAATTCCACATTTCCCCCAAATCGTTCAGCCCGTGTTGTTGCTTCCACTCCACGCCGACTGTGGCCCAGGTGAGGGGCAATGACGCTGTTCGTGTTACCTCGGTGCACGCAGTGTTCGCTCACCGTCGAAGACGGAACGACTCAAACATCCACGTGCAAAAATAATAAAGAGGGAAGGAGCGGGGGGAAGTTTAGAACCCCCTGTACGTTTTCTTCTCGAGTGGGCATTTGAATTTGTTTTAAAGATCATTCATTCGGGCATTTAGGAACCCCCCCCCCCACCACCACCACCGCCCTTCCCCTTTCGCCCCTCTCACCCCGTCCTTCCCCTAGAGGGTTATCCGAGTTAAGTAAGGAGACACCAAGGATGCTAGAGTTCATTGAAACACATGGCAAGGACAGGCTGACAGTATGAAAACGTTCGTAGTTGTACTCATTTTTACTTCGCATTGTGTCTATTCCGGTGTAAAATTCCCATACGCGCTCTCTGCGTGCACCCGGATTGTTGGTTCGATGAAATACATTTGGAAGAAAAAGAATACGGAATGGCTCGGGAGGCGCGAGGCGCCACAGACACGGGAAGGCAGCGGTCAGGCGGTGAGCCGGCTCCAACAATTGCCCAAGCTCTGCGGTCCTCTATATATTAAGATGTCTTCAACCAAGTAATACGTGTCTATACACGTGGGAGTAAACCATGACACCCGGAAACCAGCGCTTCCGATGGGGACAGCACTCGATCCCGTAGAGATTAGTCGACATTTACCGCATTCTCAAGGCGGTCCAGAGTATGGCCCCTCGACACTAACAGGAAGGGAGTTTCACAACATGAGGTGTTTTTTTTTGTTGATCGCGATCTAACCCAAACAAAAACTCCATTATAGATGATATTGGTCGCGAAAGGCTACGTGTTAAACTCAGTTTCACAACATTTGTGTGATCCAACCGACCGTTGCCTCGCGCCCGTCGAGCTGACAGCGTGGCTACGAAGGGCCCCTTCCTCGGCGTTTGGCCAGTGTGGAAAAATCGACCAAACTCCCTCTAGGGGAGGCCCTTCCGCCAGCAGTGACATTTCAGTGTCTGCACCTTGGCTTGCTTGGAGAGTAGGGATCATCGGCGTAAGGCACTATCACGAGACCACAAGGTACGCATGTACATACTCATCCTGTTTTGGTGTGTCCCATAATAATAGAATCATGTGTGTATATGTAGTATTGTACCCTATATTGCGTGTCAAAATAATGTCCCGAACGGCGTTCGGCTTAAACTAAGCACACGTGACAGCATGCGTGACTGCACACGTGACAGCATGCGTGACTGTTGGCCTTCCAGACGCTATGATTATTCACCGAGGTTACTCAAGGGAACCTCAATGCATTTTTATAATTATTATATTCTTCCTGGGATGTTTGGCAGGATCTTTGCGTGAACCGTATAAATATGTCGTGTACTCATTCAGAGACACTAGTAGGAGGCACTCTCTCTTATTTATTCCGGCCTTCGCAGCCATAGGGGATAACAACATGCCGGGTCAGGACAGCCAACATGCTGCCAGAGCAGCCAGACCCACAGCTTGAAGAGGACGAAGATCACGACGAAGATCACGACGAAGATCACGACGAAGATCACGACGAAGATCACGACGAAGATCACGACGAAGATCACGACGAAGATCACGACGAAGATCACGACGAAGATCACGACGAAGATCACGACGAAGATCACGACGAAGATCACGACGAAGATCACGACGAGTTCCATTCCAGATCGCAGCCACCCCGACTATGAGTCGGAGCTCACCTTTTATCCTCCCAAGCGTGGCCAGGCTCCACCCTCTGCATCCCCCCAGAAGGTTCTATGCCTTGCCCACAGGTCCAACTGGTAGTTCGGGCTGCTACCCCCAATCCCATTGTCTACCAATCTCCCAGCGGCACACGCTCATTCAATGTCACTACAAATGTCAAGGGACAGCCCTGAAACGTCTTGCTTAGGCTTTGCTGCAGAATGGCCTCCGCGATTAGGAAGATCAGAAAGCCCCTCTAGGGGGGATGATTTTGCCTCCTCTTCCACGTCAGTCGGACGCGTTGGGAGGGGTGGAAATTCCCACACTTCAGCCCACAACATACGAGCTGCCGTTGACTATGAGGGGAGTACCCATTTACTATGCACTGCTGGGTAGCAGAGGCAGGGGGATATTTTTTCGTTTACTTGCCCATGGTTTTCAACTAACTGGAGTGCCCGGAGAAACCCCACACCGTCGCGGGGATTACATGATGAAGGTCACGGAGATGCGGGGTCAAAAACAGTGGAACCGACGTCATTAAGGGCTGAATTTTAATTCGGCTTTCAGCAGCTCAACGACCAAACTGGGTTTTTTCTAGATTTGAAGTTTTCGTGACTGCAAGAATCCATACTGTTTGGTTGTTTCTGTAAAGTCACGTAGGTAAAAAAATATATATTTTTTCGGTAAAGTCACGTAGGTAAAAAAATATATTGTTTTTTTAACGTACGTGACTTTACCGAAAGGACCAAATAGTACAAATTGGGTTTCTCAAGCATCGAGAGTTGATGTTCTCAGTTCGAGACAACATTCGCCATGGAGGAGAAGCGATGGGATCAGCTCGTGTGTGCAAGAGCTCATAGATGGTTGCATCGAGTCATCGTGAGAATGGCAAGGACTTTGATGACCACTTGTTTCCCACCATGGCTGATGCATACCATGGACTTGGCGAGTTGAAAGGGGGAAGTTGCTGTGCGTGGAACAAAAGTCAAAGTGAGAGATGTTGGGGTGTTAATCGCTAGGCACGATCTATCCACTGCTGGATGAATGTGTTCCCCAAGCCATCGGCATTCCTCGCAACTTTGCTATACAATGTTCATTAAGAACCCCGCAATGTTGATGTTTTTTTGTTTTTGTTCCCGCTGTTCATACGCAGCACCACGGATCTACCGTGTAGAATAGCCTGGGCTACTGGCTAAACGGGACCATCCTTGTGACTAATCGAG